AACTTTTCAAAAACGAGTGAGTCCAAAAGATCCATCAACATGGAGCTTCTTCATGCGTTTTATACCAATATGACTGAAATGGCAGTGCCACAAGTAGGTGGTACTATCATTACTATCTTATATCTTTTGGCATGAACATGTGTATCAGTACGATCGAGATTCAATAAACCATTCATTTTAGGTGCAAGACCATTGAAGGTATTATTCAAATAAATAGAGTAACCATTATTCTCCTTAAATGAATAACCGTATTGCGATAGACATAATCCAATCATGTCTATGCTCAACGCAAACACCAAATAACAATTATTTAGGTTTAACACCAATCTCGATGGTAGAGGGAGTATGCAATGCTTGATCACATCAAGCTTGGAAACAGTTCTAACACATATCGTCATCTCACTTTTAGCTAGTCTCCGTTTATTCCGTAGCCTTTTATTTCGAGTTACTAACACTTAGCAACCGAACCGGTATCTTAATACCCTGGTGCTACTAGGAGTACTAGTAAAGTACACATTTAATTCAATGTATATCCAATATACTTCTGTCAACCTTGCCAGCCTTCTCATCTACCAAGTATCTAGGGTAGTTCTACTTCAGTGACCGTTCCCTCATTACAGAAGCACTTAGTCTCAGGTTTGGGTTCAACCCTGGGTTTCTTCACTGGTGCAGCAACTGATTTGCCGTTTCATGAAATACCCCTTCTTGCCCTTGCCCTTCTTGAAACTAGTGGTTTCACTAACCATCAACGATTGATGCTCCTTCCTGATTTCTACTTTTGTGGTGTCAAACATCGTGAATATTTCAAGGATCATCATATCTATCCCTGATATGTTATAGTTCATCAGGAAGCTCTAGTAGCTTGGTGGCAATGTCTTTGGAGAAACATCACTATCTCATCTGGAAGATTAACTCCCACTCGATTCAAGTGATTGTTGTACCCAGGAAATCTGAGTACAAGTTCAACAATTGAGCTTTTCTCCCTTAGTTTGTAGGCCAAGAAGCTCGTCGGAGGTCTTATACCTCTTGACGTGGGCACGAACCTGAAATCCCAATTTCAATTCTTGGAACATCTCATATGTTCTGCGACATTTCAAAAATGTCTTCGGTGCCTCAATTCTAAAACATTTAACATTACCTACTGAACTATCACGTAGTCATCAAAACGTGTATGTCAGATGTTCGCAACATCCACAAACGACGTTCGAGGTTCTGCACACCGAGCGGTGCATTAAGGACATAAGCCTTCTACGCAGCAATGAGGACAATCCTCAGTCTACGGACCCAGTCCGCATAATTGCTACTATCAACTTTCAACTATATTTTCTCTAGGAACATATCTAAAACAGTAGAACTAAAGCGCGAGCTGTGACATAATTTGCAAAGACCTTTTGACTATGTTCAGGATAATTAAGTTGATCTAATGAACTCCCACTCAGATAGACATCCCTCTAGTCATCTAAGTGATACATGACCCGAGTCAACTAGGCCGTGTCCGATCATCACGTGAGACGGACTAGTCATCATCGGTGAACATCTTCATGTTGATCGCGTCTACTATACGACTCACCTTTCGGTCTCTTGTGTTCCGAGGCCATGTCTGTACATGCTAGGCTCGTCAAGTCAACCTAAGTGTTTCGCGTGTGTAAATGTGGCTTACACCCGTTGTATGTGAACGTTAGAATCTATCACACCCGATCATCACGTGGTGCTTCGAAACAACGAACTTTCGCAACGGTGCACAGTTAGGGGGAATACTTTCTTGAAATTATTATGAGGGATCATCTTATTTACTACCGTCGTTCTAAGCAAATAAGATGCATAAACATGATAAACATCACATGCAATCAAATAGTGACATGATATGGCCAATATCATTTTGCTCCTTTTGATCTCCATCTTCGGGGCTCCATGACCATCATTGTAACCGGCATGACACCATGATCTCCATCATCATGATCTCCATCATCGTGTCTCCATGAAGTTGTCTCGCCAACTATTACTTCTACTACTATGGCTAACGGTTTAGCAATGAAGTAAAGTAATTACATGGCATTATTCAGTGACACGCAGGTCATACAATAAATAAAGACAACTCCTATGGCTCCCGTCGGTTGTCATACTCATCGACATGCAAGTCGTGATTCCTATTACAAGAATATGATCAATCTCATACATCACATATATTTCATTCATCACATCCTTCTTGGCCATATCACATCACATAGCATACCCTGCAAAAACAAGTTAGACGTCCTCTAATTGTTGTTTGCATGTTTTACGTGGCTGCTATGGGTTTCTAGCAAGAACGTTTCTTACCTACGCAAAAGCCACAACGTGATATGCCAATTGCTATTTACCCTTCATAAGGACCCTTTTCATCGAATCCGATCCGACTAAAGTGGGAGAGACTGGCAACCGCTAGCTACCTTATGAAACAAGTACATGTAAGTCGATGGAACCTGTCTTACGTAAGTGTACGTGTAAGGTCGGTCCGGGCCGCTTCATCCCACAATACTGTCGAAACAAGATAGGACTAGTAATGGTAAGCATATTGAACAAAATCAACGTCCACAACAACTTGTGTTCTACTCGTGCATAGAATCTACGCAATAGACCTAGCTCATGATGCCACTGTTGGGGAACGTAGCAGAAATTCAAAAATTTCCTACGAGTCGCCAAGATCTATCTATGGAGAGACTAGCAACGAGAGAGAGGAGTGCATCTACATACCCTTGTAGATCGCGAGCGAAAGTGTTCAAGAGAACGGGGTTGAGGGAGTCGTACTCGTTGTGATCCAAATCACCGAAGATCCTAGTGTCGAACGGACGACACCTCCATGTTCAACACACGTGCAGCCCGGTGACGTCTCCCGTGCCTTGATCCAGCAAGGAGAGAGGGAGAGGTTGGGGAAGACTCCGTCTAGCAGCAGCAGAGCGGCATGGTGGTGATGGAGGAGCGTGGCACTCCAGCAGGGCTTCGCCAAGCACTGCGAGAGATGAGGAGGGAGAGAGGTAGGGCTGCGCCTTGGAGAGAATAACTCGTGTGTTTTGCAGCCCCCAATACCTCAAGTATATATATAGGGGAAGGGGAGGGGCTGCGCCCCCATCTAGGGTTCCCTCCCTAGGGGTGGCGGCAGCCCCAAAAAACCCATCTAGGGTGCGGCCAAGGGGGGGAAGAGAGGGGGGCGCCCTAGGGTGGGCCTTGAGGCCCATCTGGACCTAGGGTTTTGCCCCCTCCCACTCTCCCTGCGCCTTGGGCCTTGGTGGGGGGCGCACCAGCCCACCTGGGGCTGGTCCCCTCCCGCATTTGGCCTACGCAGCCCTCTGGGGCTGGTGGCCCCACCTGGTGGACCTCCGGGACCCTCCCGGTGGTCCCGGTACGTTACATATAGCACCTGAAACTTTTCCGGTGACCAAAACAGGACTTCCCATATATATAAATCTTTACCTCCGGACCATTCCGGAACTCCTCATGACATCCAGGATCTCATCCGGGACTCCAAACAAAATTCGGTAACCACGTATATCTATTCCCTATAACCCTAGCGTCATCGAACCTTAAGTGTGTAGACCCTACGGGTTCGGGAACCATGCAGACATGACCGAGACAACTCTCCGGCCAATAACCAACAGCGGGATCTGGATACCCATGTTGGCTCCCACATGTTCCACGATGATCTCGTCGGATGAACCACGATGTCAAGGATTCAATCAATCCCGTATACAATTCCCTTTGTCTACCGATATAGTACTTGCCCGAGATTCGATCGTCGGTATCCCGATACCTTGTTCAATCTCGTTACCGGCAAGTCTATTTACTCGTTCCGTAACACATCATCCCGTGACCAACTCCTTGATCACATTGTGCACATTATGATGATGTCCTACCGAGTGGGCCCAGAGATACCTCTCCGTCACACGGAGTGACAAATCCCAGTCTCGATTCGTGCCAACCCAACAGACACTTTCGGAGATACCCGTTTTGCACCTTTATAGCCACCCAGTTACGTTGTGACGTTAGGTACACCCAAAGCATTCCTAAGGTATCCGGGAGTTGCACAATCTCATGATCTAAGGAAAAGATACTTGACATTTAGAAAAGGTTTAGCATACGAACTACACGATCTTGTGCTAGGCTTAGGATTGGGTCTTGTCCATCACATCATTCTCCTAATGATGTGATCCCGTTATCAATGACATCCAATGTCCATGGTCAGGAAACCATGACCATCTGTTGATCAACGAGCTAGTCAACTAGAGGCTCACTAGGGACATGTTGTGGTCTATATATTCACACATATATTGCGGTTTCCGGTCAATACAATTATTGCATGAATAATAGACAATTATCATGAACAAGAAAATACAATAATAACCATTTTATTATTGCCTCTAGGGCATATTTCCAACACTATAGATCTAGTATCATACACTAGTATTAAATGCATGATATTAGTATAGTAGTGTATGATACTCCCCACTATGACCAACCTTAGAAGGTGCACTGCAACCTAGGCATGAAGAGATTGGGCTAGGAAAAAAATTGAATCGCAGAGGAAGTCAATCCTTTCTCAACTAAAAACGTGCTATTAATTAGGATAGCTTTTCAAATCCCTATAACATGTCACAGAAATTGCATGCACTGGTCCTTCAATTAATAGATGGAGTCTAATTAATATACATACAATTAGTACTACCATTTCGTGCCTTGATGTTTTGGGATTATTTAATTTTCAATAGATGCCTAATGCACCTAAACGGAGGGAGTAGTATAGTCCTACTCGGTGATTGATTTGAAACCTACACGGCCTCATGCAAATGTATACCACGGACACATATACCTCGTGTTTATTGCTGACAGATGTCATGCGCGTGTTTTGCACATGCCGCCCGACACACTAAAGATATTGTCCTCGCATGCGGACTTGCTAGTTACTAGAGCAATCATATTTGGTCAAACTTTACATCGTTTGACTTTAAATAAAATAAAAATATGCACTACATTCTGGCATACTTTTGCTTGAGATTGCTGGTCGCATGCATCACCATAGTCTCAATTGTGAACCCATGTCCAAATCCCAGCATCACACCCCAAACACCTTCCTCTCCGTCCTCTTCCATTCGGCGCCGCTGCTCATCAAGCACAAAAATCACTGTGGCGCTGAGCATATTCCCGTACTCTCTCAGCACGGTCCGACTCGCTGCCAACTTTCCCGGGTCCAACATGAGAGCCTGGTCGACATGGTCTAAGAGTGCATTGACGCCCGGGTGCATTGCCCAGAAGAGGTCGTTCCATTCGACGCCAACTCCGAGCTGCTTGAGCTCATCCGATATGCACTGCTCGATGTTCTGTGCTACTATCGGGACAAGCTCCCGCATCGACAATTGGTGGTAAATGCCACCTTCCCCGGTTTTTATCATGGAAGATGATCCGTCCCCGGAATCACGATCTGTGACGCGGACACCATCTCGAAGAGTGGGCGCTCCAGTGGGTGCACCGTGTCAGCGCCGATAATTACGGCGCCGGCGCCATCACTGAAAATTGCCTGGCTGATGAGGGTGTGGGGGTAGTTCTCCTCTGGCCCCCGCAAGGCGGCGACGCTGAGCTCGACGCACACCACAAGGACACGGGCGCCGCGGTTGTTCTCGGCAATGTCCTTGGCGAGGCGCAGCGACGCGGAGCCGGCGGAGCATCCGTTGATCTGGAGCAGTGTGCAAACCACAGACGGTCGGAGGCCTAGGAGGGAGGCGATGCGGAGGTCGGCACCCGGGGCGCGGGCGCACGAGTTGGTGCTGACGATGAGGTGAGTGATGTCGGTCGCTGGACGGCCCCACTTGGTTATGGCCTTGGCTGCGGCCAACGCGGCGAGGTCTGGGGCGACGGCGGCGGCGATCTCCAGGCGGTCGTGTCCGCCGTCGAAGAAGCGAGGGTGGGCGTCCAGCAGCTCCTGTGTGTGGTGAAAGAAACGTTTCTCCGTGCCTGTCCTGTCACCTGCACGTATGATTGAGAGAAAAGATAAACAAACGCGGCTGCCTGCCATCGTGGTTCGCGCAGATTTGGACTTACATATTGACTTGAATTCGCGTTTGAGGTCCGTGAGGTGCTCGCTTTTGGTGGCGCGGAAGTAGTACTCCAGGTACTCCTCTTGGGACAAGTGGTTGGGCGGGTTTGCTGTCCCGATGGCAAGCACCAACGCAGGCCCGTCCGCACGCTGCAAACGGCGGATCTCGCACACGGTACTACTTGCCATGCTCTCACAGGCCTTCTTAGCTGTTGTGTGTGTGTGTGTGTGCGCGCGCGCGCGCGTGTGAATAAAACAAGAGTTAACGCTGCACACAGAAAGAAAGAAAGAAAGAAAGAAAGAAAGAAAGAAAGAAAGAAAAGAAAAGAAAAGAACGAACTGGAAATACCTAGCCACCGGCAAGACAGACGGGGGACAGGGAGAAGGCTGCTCTTGTTTGCCTTGCGAGATGTAAAGGCTTGGTGTTTTATATGGACGGGAGAGCATGGCGCATAGCATTTCCAGATCATGGTTCACCTAGAGTCGGAGGGATTCAAGTTATGAACCAGAAAATTTCTCTTGACAACTTTATGATATATAATATGGCTGATCACCTAATCATAAAGCTCTTGGGAGTGATTAGTAATGCAGCCCCGGTTGTGACACTGTGATATCATATTTTATGTAAACAATCAAAAATATTCTCTAAAACTAACAGTAATCACCGAGCTAAATTTGAATGTCCAGATCCAGCTCATGATTCACCTAAAGGCGGAGGCATTCATGTTATACCACCAATAAGTTTCTGCTGCCGACTTCATTGTATCGATCACCTAATCTTAGACCACTTGGAGTTATCAACAATGCATTGCAGCCCTGATTATGACGCTTTCAGATATCATATTTTCTGTTCACAATCACTGACATTTTGTAAAACTAACAAAACCACCTACCTATATTCCTGTGACTTATGACAAAATATCACTACTACAAGAGGCACAAACGAGAATTCATGAGGAGGCAGAGTCGCCTACAGGCGAGAGGGCGATGTGATAGGGTTAGACGACCACCAAGATTAAGTTGATCTCGGCGAATGCCATTGGTGTATAGGGGCGTGAGTATGTGAAAGTTCAATTCAACACCTGGAATCGCCGGACAATCATTACCTATTTAACATTTGGCCCAATCAACTTAATTAGTCCGTCCCATAAAATTATACTACGCACTCTGATGTGTAGTCCGATGCATCATAAAAACTCCCATATATACGCATTAGGAGGGTGGAGGCAGCTATCTCATCATATACCAATGAATAAAATAAGAGTTAACGCTGTACATAGAAAGAAAGAAAGAAAGAAAGAAAGAAAGAAAAGGCAAGAAGGAACGGGAAATACCTAGCTATATGAAGCGAGTGCCGACTGCCGAGTGCCACCAGCACAGCAAGACAGACTGGGACAGGGAGAAGGCTGCTCTTGTTTGCCTTGCGAGATGCAAAGGGTTGTATTTTATAGGGACGGGGGAACAGAGCGCATACCATCTCCATAGTGCAAAGGCTACCAGCACAGGCATCCACCAGCCACGAGAATTCTTGGTAACCATTCCCATGTGAAACACTAGTGCTACTTGTACTAGTTTATAGATACATAAATCTCGAGCCAAGCTCTGAATCACTTGTGTCGGTTTCAGAGTCAGCTTACGTATTCATCAGAATGTGGTAATTATAATATCTGATCCAGCTTTCAGTATTTTGTCGAGGCAGTGTAGTTGTATGTTCAATACTCCTGGAGAATTAGCTTCTCAGTTTCTACTGCTTATAATCTCATCCTTGGTAATCCTAATGTTCCGCTTTATTTCAATTAGCTCTGAGGTTCTTGCTATCAAAAAAAGGCTGGTTGTTCTTCTGGCATCTCATTCCTAACATGCTCAATACCAGAGGAATGATGCAATGAATGAGAGTTTTTTGTAGCTCGGCCTACGTGGTACCCATTATGGCAGCCATCCATTCTAACTTCTTGTTCATGTGGATGTGTGCAGCAATGCAAAAATCAGCAGCAGCAGGCGTCAGGCTCTCAATGCTTAATCCTCTGAGCGTTGCTACACAGACGACAACCCTGGACGATTTTCAGACGATTCAGCAGATCAAGCCATTGATACGTGGAGCAAAACTAACCTACACCGTTCAATCAAATATCGTCCAGCGTTCGTCTAGGCTACTATCGTCCGCGTAGTAGTTTCGTAATCCTCTGGCGCGAACTGCACCTGACGTGATGAGTCATGTCTGCCTCTTCCGCCAGACCAGCCCGCTGGCCTTCTTTTGTCCACTCTTTTGGAATCTCTCAGGAACACGATGGACAGCATGTCAGGAGATATTTAATGCGAGAGACATGGATGCAGCTTCTCACATGTCACATGCACGCAGAATAATACATGCCTCATATGAACAGTAGTACATCCTGTTAATTTTTTTTGTGGGCAAAAAATCTTGTTATGTTTAGCAGCAGCCGATCCAAGTACATCTTGGTAAGGTAGATCTTTTCTGATAAAACTCTGATTGATACGCTTGTCAAGCAAGTTGTACGTCATGTTTCATACCATTTCATATAGAAAACGTTAACATATATTCAATATTGGGTTGTTTCGAAGATATCGTCAAAAGAAAAACATACTTTAAAAAAGATATATTTATCTGATATTTATCTAATATATATGGTTGTTACAAGTTTAATACAAACTAAATAACGCAGAAGATGGAGATGGATGGGAGGTTGTGGAATAAAAAAAAGAGGACTGCTGTAAGAGGATTGTAGTACATGGGAAAAGTTGTCAGGATACACTGCAGAGAAGTGCCTCTCTGAAGTCTGGTTCACGTGTATGCGAAGGGACTGTGCATGCAGGACCTAGGCGCCTAGCCCTAGATTGTATTACTATTCATATAGGTAGATAACTTTGGCTGTTGACGCACAAATCTTGAAGGGAGCAGACGGCCTGGATAGTGGGTACCGTGTGGCTCGAGCTTCAGCAAAACTTTCCGCAATGAAAAAATCACTTGCTAGATTATAATTGTGTCATGTGCGATTCACATCTCTACAATTAGTAAGCTCCCACAAAATGGAGCCCTCTGATTGATCGTAAACTTTGGTCAAATAGTGGACCCTGCCAAAACTGGTTTTCTAGCCAATGATTACTATGTGACTGTATTAGTAGAAACGAAAGTAAAACTGATTTTCTTGACTAGATTGTTCGTTTTTTTTTGTTTGGGTCGACCATGTCGTCCAACAGTGTGCCTGACGCATGTTTTCCGTATCCACTATTTTCTTTTTGAAAACATGTGTTCCAATTAAACATAAGTAAACATTAAATGGCCGGTCAATCGCTCGCAAAAGTCCACTTAAACATAATAAAACATAAATAAAACTAAATAAAACTTAAACGTTAATAAAACATAAAAAGACTAAATAAACACGCCTCCCAACCACCCAGCACGCTGTCCTAGGCGTCGCCATCGTTGCTGTCGTTGCTGGTGAGGTCGATGAAGGCTGGCGCGCGGCAGCCTAGCCCATGGGAATGCAGTCTCCCACCCAACCCACGCCGACTCCTACAACATTGCCCCACCAGCGGCACTGCTGCGCGGCGCGCGCTCCTCCTTCTCCTGCTCCCGACGCTCTTCCTCCACCTCACGTGCCCAGCAGTCATGGCGCTCCTCCTCCACGCGCTTGGCTTGCACCCAGCGCTCGCCATCGGTGTGCTCCTTAGACAGGTGGAGTTGTCACGTGTGCTCCAGGTTGTCCTTCTCTTGCTCAGGAGTGGCGCCCGGCGCGATGGGTGGCGCGCTCACCCACTCGTGGAGGATGCCGGTCCATACATACATCTCCCACTCTGACTCCATGGGCGGCATGGCCGTCAGCATGAGCGCCCTGTGTGCTCGGGCTCAACCTTGGGCTCGGGCAGGGCGGGGCGTAGGCGCGGTCCCCCGCCGCCGACAGCGCGTGTCCTCCTCGCGCTGGCTCTCCTTTAGGGTGCGCTGGAGCGCCACCTCCAATGTGGCCTGGTGGGCTATCTCCTCCTTCGACGCCACCTCCGGGGACGGTGGCACGAACCCAAGGTTAAGCTGCATGCCGCCACGGCGGGCCACATCGTGCTCCGTGGCGAACCAGGCCTCCCGATTGGGGAAGTCTTGCGCGTAGGCAGGGTCACGCCGGTGCTCTGGCGTTAAGAGGCCGCGGCGCTTGGTAACCATTCCCATGGGAAACACTAGTGCCACTTGTACTAGTTTATAGATACCTAAGCCAGGGAAGGGCCAGACCATCCAGTACAAAAGTTGGGTTTTCCAATAAATCTCGAGCCAAACTCTGAATCACTTGTGTCGGTTTCAGAGTCAGTTTACGTATTCATCAGAATGTGGTAATTATAATATTTGAT